TTTAAAAGGACAGTAAGGCTTTTACAATTACAAAAACTGGCCTCTATTTAGGCTGTAAGTTACAGACGTGGAGAAAACCCGAAAGTTTCTAAGTGGCCAGCCCGTCCATTCCGAGTGTTCAGGGACGAAGACCGCTTGGCTACCGATGGGCCAATAAACCCTTTATAGTATTTCAGTAATCTTTGCCGTATTTCTAGCTTAACTATGGAATTTCAATTAGTTTGTTGCGTTATAATCCTATTTAATTCTTCTATTAACGTACAGTACAGTTCAGAATTTGGAAAATCTAATTCGTTAATTCTAGACGTATTTTTAATGATTTTAAAAATTCATATAAAATTAAAGAATTTGATTTCGAAAATTCTGAACCGTATGTTAATAAAAGAGTTAAACAGCATTTTGAAGCAAAAGATTGGTTTGTTCTATCTGCTTTCGTTTTCGAGAAATTTGGAGAAAAAGGATTTTCTCATAGAAAAAGCATATATAATGCTTTTTCTATGAGAAAATCCTTGGAGACCGCGTGCGTATTGATAGAGGTTACAATTACCTTTAATAATAAAATATAAATAAAAAATAAATAAATTAAACAAGCCTAGTATTAATCTATGCATTGTTTTCACAGAAAAAAATCTATATATTAATACAATGGACATTTTTTTCTTTTAATAATACGAAAAGGTCTACTTTAGCTTAATTACTCCTGTGCATTTTGTTGAAAATTTTTGAAATTTTGCAGGGAGGTTTGTTTTTTATGAGGTTTGATGATATTTAATTTTGATGGTTAAAGGTCATCGGAATGCGGAGATAAAGGGGTCGTGTGTATCTCCAGTTGGGTCAGACTTAATGACGATTTTACTTGTCATTAGTACTTATAATTTTTTTATAAAACTCATCTCTACCCTGAAAATTAAGCCTTTTGCCATATTATAATAGTTAAAAATATAAAGAATTTTTAAAATAAATTGTGATAAGAGATGGCGCCACCAAACGTTGCTGGGAAAGTTAAGCAAGTGGTTGCTGGTTTTTTGAAGGTAGAAGTGAGTTTTATATAAAAAAACTTGCACATTTCAATTACGAATTAAATCTTTTAAGTCCCTTGACATTTAGCCGATAGCATCGATCCCCTTTATACAAAATTTTAGAAATTTTCGACAAAAGACACAAAGTTAAGCTTCAAATAGGGTGAACAAAATCGTCTCAAACACACACACTAACATCCATACATGTAGAAAAAAATCCCTAAATTTGTTTGCATTTCTCGACGTTTTAAGGTGGCAGGAGTCTAACAATTAAAACTCTTAGGGGCCATTTTTTTGACTGAACTCCACACTTACCCTGTGTTATATACTGTATAACAGCCGGAAATACGAAAATTCTACATACCACCTGACTAATCGAACCATATACATGCAATTTTTGATCCGCTCTATCAATGTTTATAGCGTTATGGATGACAATTCGATACTGCAAATCTTGGCATGCAATTCGACACAAACAGAATTGTAAACGCCCGAATTGCACACTAGAAGACCTCAAAATAGTTACTCCACATTCCTTTAATAACTGTGGCAATGGCTTAATGTAACCAGTATTTTTAGCATGTTCTGTAGGAATTTTTGTATTGTAACTGGATGATCGTGTTGCCCGACTTCTGGGCAGTTCTGGCTTAACTGTGTGAAGATAATGAATGCGTGAAGTTACATAATGGACCGGCTCTGAGCGCCCCGGACGGATCATCAGAGTCACTCTGATGATCTCGTCCTGAGACACACACTAATAACTGCACCCCTAGTAGTGACAGGAAACATAGTAGTACGTTCAGGAAATGTTTGGTCCCGATGTGTGTGCCCTTCATATTGCAAACAGCTATTTTTTTTTTTTTTAGAAATATAATGCTGGGTTGCACATAGCGTTTCCAGGAATGCTTCCTTCGTGTTGCTTTATTTCCTTGACCTGCTCTCTGTTCAGATTTATAGGACTAGATGGGATGACAGTTCGGACACTTACGAGTTGTTACAGCGGTTGCAACGTCTGTGAATGAGTCTGTTGCAAGGTAGCAAGGTGCTTGTATGCTTCCGTGTCTGATCGTATCGAAGATATTTAGGTAAGAGGAGATTTTACAAAGTTCTAAGAATCCTTTACGAGAAATTTCGTGTTTGCTATGATATTGTGTGAATTTTTTCTATCTCATTACGTTCGCTTAATACAGTTTCNTTAAAAAAATAACTGTAGTAAGAAAAACAAATGAAAAATGCGAACTAATGTAACGTCGTATGGTGAGTTTTTGTTCGTATCGTGGAGCAAAAATATGTTCGAATTTCATGTCGTATCCTGAAAATTTCGTATGCAGGACGTTCGTAACCTGAGGTACCACTGTACAATTGAAATATTAATATAATTGTTTTTAATATATCCACAAGTTTCCAGAAGGTATTTTTGAATTCTGACACACGAAACCTTATGTCGTGGAAGCCATTAAAATGCTGCTCATTGTTATTGTAGGTCTGCAATTTTCAGTTTTTCATTGGCGACATGCCTTATAAAACCAATTCAGGTATATATTGTGTAATTGTTGGCCACCGTGACAGCCAAAGTATTCTTTATACGTGGTTTGAAGCTGTATCTATGTACACGAAAACGATGCATCGAGATTGTCCACGTATTCAATCGTCCCAGTTTCATTTATTTACACGTGATGAAAATTGAAGAAGACAATGAGTAACCCGCTTCGCATGTACTGTATATCAAGATTGTTAAATAACTTCGCCATTCTTTATTAGACGCTCAAGTCCACACAGAATTACTACTTGCAAATAGAAACCCTGTCTGAGAGTGATGGCTCTACATTTGTCTTAACAAAACAGTTAGTTATTAAACAAATTTTATCCTTTTATACTGGTAGATTATTAAAAAAAAGGGTTATAATTTTGTTAAGAACCCTTATATAAACAATCTATGTCAATATTGGTGTATCAGACAATATAACAATAAAGAACAGACAATAAACAACCTGTGATTTTATACGTTTTAAATACTATTGTTCGATATAATATTCGATTCACTGACAAGAAGTATTTTAATATTTACTAATACTGGATTAATATAGAACTTCATAATTAACATTTAGTCAGTTACCCTTTGGCCCAATAGGTTTTGTTAACTCTCGATTTCTTGTAATTTTTCCACACGTACAGTAATTTATACCCTTTCGTTTTGTTTTGAAGAATATTACCAAACAATAGAAGAGAATTTACAATTTTATTTCAAATGTAAGTCTACCATTTAAAAAAATTCTGGAAGGCACTATCTTGAAACTACAGTAAAGAAAGGAAGAAACATTATGAGAAAAATAAAATAGATTTATTGATAATAATTTCAAAACGATTGATCTATGCATGCTTGATGGCAGTTTTTGTACCCCTAAATTTACATGAATGTTCTTGGAGATTATTATATAATATCCTGATAAACCAATAATCAATTTCTTTTCGTTGTTTTCTAACGTCCTTGTTATTTTTTTATTAATGTCAATATTTCACGGTGCCTCTATTATTTCTAAATATAACTTCGCGAAGCCGATGTAGTGACGAAGCCGGAATTTTGAAATTTTTGTCTAGGGGATGAGACATTTGAGGTCAAAATCATCTGCGTAAACTCTGTGGGCCGATTGCCAGTAAATCGAAATTACGATTGTCATCAATTTGCATTAATCTCAATGGCAATTTTATATTTTGGTGGTGAAGTCACCCTACGTATTATATATAAAGTTGAGATCAATGGACCAATAAATTCCCCGCTATGGATCAGATATCCCAGGTAAATGTTAGTCACGGGTTTGCACCTCTCCAGGGAATTAGCCATGAGGAGTTTCTAGTGTTTCTTCACGTGTATCACCCCTAAATAGGGGCTAGTTCTCATTGAAATTTCTCCCTTCAGGGAATTGAATCGGATTGGATTATACAGAACCTTAGTTAAATGTGTTTCGCTTAACTGGGAATATAAATTTGTATAAATTTATGTTAAAAAAAAGCATTTTTGTATCAAAAACATATAGAGTACGGTATATACATATGATTATTTATAGATAAAATAATAATTCGTTCAAACTTCAATATAGTGCAGCTATTGCTAAATCGAGTAAGACATTAATTCGAAATACCTCGAGAGAAAAAAATTATAACTTATGTAGAAAAGTTCATAAATATATATGGTACTTTATAGGGTGACACTATATAAAAGAGCGCAATATCGAGGTTGTAATTAAACCGTTCAGCGATTAGACACGTGAAGTAAATGCAAGAAAGTCCACGTGGCTAGGTCATTGATTAGCGGCAAAGCGGGACAAACTATGGTTCTATCTACATTGCCATACAAAGTAATGGGGAAAAATTAGTATTTATTGTTAGTTTGATAGATTATTTTTGTGAAAAATGATTTTTATTAAAATAATTCCCTTTAAAATTATTTTTAAAATAGAAATTAACGATAGGTTTTATAGAAAACAGTAAGGAATCAATTCTAAATCGTGTAAATACTTATACAAATTGTAAAGAAGCTTAACTAAAATATTTATGACATTTATAAGATAAATTTCCTTGAATTTAATCAAATTTATAAACAAAATTTACAAAAGTAATTGGTAAATATATTATGTTACTTACGCTATCGCTACAATAGATAAACGAGATAAAGAAAATTATTCAGTAGGATAGAAATATTATAATTTGAAAGCTGAAAAAAGAAAATATTTGCGGATTAATTTATTCCATAAGTTTATATACAACACTAAGAAATTAAAATAACTAAAATTCGGCTGATAAAATGTCAAATATCACGTGACGAATTAGGAAACAGATTACAAACTTCATGCTGTATAATTTATAGATGTATAGTCTATTATTAATGTTTATACAAGATGATCCCCGATAATGTTACGCAAAAGAAGAGTAACTACTCGTTACTATTTAAAATAAATCAAAGGTTTCGGTGTATATGCATTCAAAAATATATTCCTGTAAAAAATGAAACTGCGTACACCAGATAAAGGGTGGGCATGGGTGGTATTAGTTGCTTCTTTTCTATGCACAGTTTTTGGAGTGGGTGTACTTAGAGCCTCTGGTATTCTATTTTTGGCATTTAGAACAAAGTTCGATATATTAAGAGAAGAAGCAGCTTGGCCTTTGACAATAAGAAAGATTGCTGGAGCATTCGCCGGTAAGTGTAAACTGTTTTTTAATGTTTAATTTTTCATTGTTTGCTTTTATATTGTCAACGTAGATCTTGTTTATAAATAGGACTTATTATATTGGTGTAGCTTCGAATTAGCAAAGAGTGAGAGTCTTAGACAAAGTCACCCTTTACTAATTCGAAACTATACCAGTATAGTTACTCCTATTTATAAACAAGGACAATATAAAAACAGAAATTGAAATACTAAGAACATAGAGGAATACCGATTTGATATAATTTTTTTGTCATTTTAGGTTTTCTTATTGGTTTTCTTTCACACTTTGTTAATTTAAAGACACTAGTAATTACCGGAGTTACGATTGCAGCGATCGCTCTTGCAGCATGCTATTTTGCTTCAAATATTATAATGATTTCCATACAGTTTGGATTTCTGCTAGGTATAATTATTTTCTTCTTTTATAAAATTATGCGTGCACAATTTAATTGTTTTCTTTTCTTGTAGGATTAGGAATTGGTATGCTGGGTTCTACCAATGTTATTATAATAAATCGTTACTTTAACAAATACAGAACCATAGCTTTAGGAATTTTATACTCTGGAACAGCTACGGGTGGATTTATGTATCCTGTTTTAACTACCTACCTGCTTGATGAGTACGATTTACAAGGATGCTTTCTCCTTCTATCCAGTGTACTTATGCAAGCTTTAATAGCCGTTACGCTCTATAAAAATCCTCCTTTGCAGCAAGAATCAACAGAAAAATCTTCAAAGGAAGACCAACGCGCAAATTTATCTGAAGTTGTGCAATCATTTTTCGGATTATTCCGCACTGCGATGTTCCATGTAATCTGGTTCTCTGTAGCTATATACAGCGTAACTCACATTATTTATCTAACTGTATTCATGGATTTTGCATTGGATTGTGATATACCTCAATACTCTGCAGTTTATATACTATCTTCTGTTTCTATAGCGGAATTGTGTGGCCGATTGACGTGTGGATGGATAATAGATTTCGGATGGATGAAAAGGAGAACATTTGTCGCATTGGCATTTTTGGCAAAAGCGATTATATACGCAACGATACCTATGTGGAACACGTATTCGGGTCTTTTTGTTACGACACTATGTCTCGGTTTTACAGCTAGTTGTTTGAGCGTTAATGTTTCCGCTCTTTACACAGATTATTTAGGATTAAAGAATCTTCCTTTAGGAGTAGGAACAGGAAAGGCTTTGAATGGTTTCCTTCATTTCGCTTCGCCAAGTATTATTGGTAAGTACAGTACATAATATTTAATTGAATAAAACTTTGTTTAAGCATTTAAGTTTCGATTTAGACAGAACAAATAGAAATATTTTTAGTTGTATTCTATTATAAGACAAGATATTTAGAAATATTTTGATAAGAACACTATCTAATTTCAATTATTATACAGTAAAACCACTAAAATAGTTCTGATGGGTTTCCACTAAACTGGCAATAATAAGGTGCTGTGAAAAACCTTAATAAAATTCGGACAGGTCGAAAAACACCATGAATTCTTCGGGGTAGTCAGTCTAGTATCCATCTCTCACTATTATGGGATTAGCCCAAGCCATAATGGGTTTGCTAAAAAAAGCTTCTCTTAGTCCCCACAGGCCTAAAGAGTCAAAAATACCTGACAACCGTTCTTAAACAAAGGCCATGTTGTTAGGGAAAGTTGAATAAGCAAGTCAATGAACTAGTTCCTGAGTTATACCATGAATTCAAATTTAGAAGATTTACTGTATATTTTTATTTTACATTATTACAAATAATAATATAAAATTTCATATTTATCTTTAGGTTATTTCAGAGATGTTAGAGGAAGTTACCATGCGATGTTTTTCTACTTTGCAGCGGCGTATTTGTTTTCTTCCTTTCTCTGGCTTCTAGAACCAATCATTATGAAGTTTACAAAACGTGAAACTACGAAATTATAAACATTATTTTAGGCCTGTCACATATCACCAAGCTGTATAGAAACAATGTGTGCTCATTCCAGGGTACTTACTATCCAATTATGTGAATCGCAAGACGAATATATTTGGACTGTCACGTGGTGCAAACTCGTTCAATCTCATTGAACCGGTCGGTACAGATGAACTCAGAACGCGTCTGTTGCTACTCACGTGAGTGTGACGTTATCACAGTATGGAAGTACTACCGGAAGTTAACTTAACATACGGACTATGGATAGGAGATATTATTTAAACTATAGGCACGATAAATTAAATTAAATTTGTTGTAAATTACAAAAAATTATTAAAAGATGTAAAGTAGAAGTAATCGTTTCTCACGTGTTTAATATTGCATAATAAATTGTTTCTTATTGTTTTGTAATTTCGGTATTTAATTGTGCATTTATCTCCATGTGCTTATACATTGTTTTTTTTTTGTTTTTGTAAATAAAATATTATGTAATATTGTCTCGAATTCGTTATCTGGAGATCAATCGCGACGCCAAGGCATTTCGTTTGTCTGTCCTACCTTAATCTCGAGAAAGGAGTGAGAAAGATAAAAATGGAAAATGGATATATAAACTATAAAGGCAGGGGGCCCAGATTACCTATACAAGAACGTCCAACGCAAATTGGAAGTCATATTATTTTAATTCAAAATTTGTCTCTGAAAGATGGGAGTTAAATGACTTACACGACTCTTTTGTTAAAAAAAATATATGATGTATAAAAGCAAGCCACTACTAATTTGAGATGGAGAATATATATTGTAAATGGAATAAATTAAAAATTGCAGCCCAGCATTGCGACTATGTCACAACTTTCAAAATAGCCAAAAGCTCAAATTGAGCACGATTACAAACTTTCCTGGGAAAGTAAAAGTGTTGACCAACGGCCTTTTTCTTTAAATGTAATATTTGAGACAGATAAAGAATACATAATCTTTTAATAATTTATAAATACATATGAATAGTAAACTATGAACTTTCAAGTGAGATAAGATCTATCCCGCTCTCACTAATCTAATTTCAACTCGATTGCAATAGTCTAAAACCCCAACATCTATAATATTCATCAAACATTAATCATTGCTCGCAATACAGTAGTTTTAATTGCTATCCATTTTATATATATTATGGCTTAGATATTGCTGAAGACAGTATTGCACAACGGTTGTTATTATTGTTTAAACTTAAACAGCAAAGAAACAGCAATAATAATTAGAGTGTTGTAATTAAAAATTTAGCAATGATTTATGTTTGATCTCATTTAAGATATGACGCATAACTTCCCTGTATCTTTCTACTCTCTTGACCTTTACCCACTAAAATTTAACAACGTCAATATACATAATATGCAAACCTCCGTGCAAAATTTAAAAAATTTTCAGCAAAGGGCACAGAAGTTATTAAGCTTCAAAGTGGATGAACAAATTCTTTCACTTTATTCACGCTAACATTAATATATATAAAAAAAAATTTCCATAATTTTTTTTGTTTTAGGTAAAGGACAACCAGGACGAAAGGGATTAGCACGTGTCCCAAGTGCTCTAATATATGGGCACCTGAAATATTTTGTGTGTTTTGAACGTTGCGCACGTTGCTGTACCTCTTAAACAATACACATTGCTGTAGGCTTTATATGCATTCGTCATAACACCAATAGCAAATTAATATTAAAAAGAAGGAAACTGCGTTTCGTATGAATGTGTATAATTTTGCAATTGAAAACTAAATTTTATATGCCGATAGCTACAAGTAATTGCTAGTATTTTGTTTATTTTTTTCGTAGGAATTATAAACTTTCCAGATAGATTTCCAGTTATATAATACAAATAGATGATGTGTGTTTCAGAATTTTACTTTTGTTTATGAAGCGGTTTACCAATGTTATAGTGGATAAAATATTCATTAAGTTATAGTGGATATATATTCATTCATAACAATGAACATTCATAAATATTCATATGTTATAGTGGATAAAATATTCATTACCCTAATTGAGATATTATACACGACCTTCTTTATCTTCCCACCCCGTCCACCTTTAATCACCAAATTTTAACAACATCTATCCACCTAATATGAAAACCTTCCTTCAAAATTTCAGAAATATTTAACGAATCTACTAAAATATTTCCACTAAGTAATTTCTAACCTATACCTATTTAATTAGCGAAGAAATACGAGAAACTTTTCTTACAAAAGAATCGTTCTTCGTTTTCTTTTACGTTGATATCTAACGTCACGAATTGGAAATTGACGAAATGGTCGGATGAGCAGGAAGAAACGAAGACAATAACAATTTCATTTGTTTCGCCAAGTAATTTACATTTAGAATTTATCGTATTAAACATAGTCTGCAAGTTTAAAAATTATTTAATAAAAATCTTTGGTTTTTAATCTCAAAAATGTTTATATTTATTTAATCTGTCTACAAATGAATACAGTCAATTTGATATTAGCGAGGTTGCGGCCGAAGTTTTCATCTGTAAAACGTGAACGTCGGACGTTCAGCGTAGCCTTCCTTTAATTCTAGAAGTTTGACAATGGCGTTTGGAAAGTCAGTGGAATCATGCTCGACGTACCAAACGCCATTGTCAAACTTTTAGGTTTACAAGAAGGCGGCGCTGAACGTCCGACGTACACGTTTTTGCGATGAAAACGTGTACGTCGCAACCTCTCTAAAAACTTCGGCCGCAACCTCTATTGTGTATTAGACAAATGTCAGGTTCGAAGGTTTTGCTGTTTTAAAAAATATTTTTGGTTGTTATATAACAGAGGAAATGTATCGCCATCGGCCCAAAAATTACTTCTCCTTTCAGATTTTCCATTTTTGTACTCAGACGTCGAGAAATTCATAAATTTCGAGATTAATTTCTGCATGTATGAATGTTAGCTGTGTGTGGGGGCATGTTGTTCTTTACCCTCTCTGAAGATTAATAACTCCTGTGCTTTATGTCGAAAATTTATGAAATTCAGGAAGGAGGATTGTTTATTAAGGAGATTGATGTTGTTAAATTCTGGTAATTAAAGGTCGAGGGAGTGGGGAGATAATGAGGGTCGTGCGTATCTCGAGTATGGTAGTACATAATGACGATTTTACTTGTTATTAGCATTTATAATTTTTTTAATATAAAACTCATCCCTGCTTTCAATATTAAGTTTTCTACCATTTTATAATAAAAAAAAGCTCTTTTTAATCGCAACAGATGGCACCACACGCTCTTTACGCCAGGAAAGTTACACAACTGATTGCTGGAATTTTTTATTTAAATGACACTTTTATTAACTTCATATCTTATTATAAATTAACAAATTACTCATACAGTAAATTCTATACTGCATATTTTTGTATTTTAAAATTATAATTCCTATTGAAAGCATTAAAAAAACGTAAAGGTTTAAAGTTATAAGTAAAATATATGAAAATAAATTAAGACCGAATTATATTTTTTATAATGCTAATCATTAATACAGATGACAGTCTCGGATTTTAAACAATAGAATAAGAATTCCTATTTCATCTCGTGATTTATTGTATAAAAATTCGAATATACTCATTAACGTAAATTATTTCGTCTTACAATTGCCATTCGATGAATCAGCTTCCTTGACGTATTTTATTGTTTCTGAAAATATTGGAAATTATCCAAGGTTGCTCGTATACTTATTTCTTTCCTTCCTCTGAAGCTCTCATCTGGAATCTATGTGACTTCGTTATTTAAAAGTGCAGATTGCTGGTGTATACTTAAGAATAAATCTATGAATTAATCGTCACTACCTGTTCATAGTAAACAAAGGTAAGATACAATTACTTATATTATTATTTTAACATAAAAGTAAAAGAATAACTTCATAATTCGTAACGGCAGGTCAGAGATCGCAACCTGTGACTTTAATTTCTTTCTGCTGTACGTACTACAGTATTCTTAAGTGCTAGAGTGAAGGTCTGCATTGATGAGAGAGATCTGTACTTGATAAATTAACATGATAACCCTCTGACCTGTTTTAATGAAATGAAATAAATACCTCATACCGTATACTTCATACATTTGGTATATTTCCTAGGCAATAGTCAATATAGCACTCGAATAGACCAGATGTTACGAACGGGGTTGACTGATTGATTGGAGTAATTGACTTTAAAATTAATATTAATACGTATTTTTAACGTAATAATATAACTTTATACTAGAAAATAATGATTTTTGTATTAATGTTTTTAACGCAATTTTGGGAGGGTAACAGTGACTTTTAACAATTGATACTAATTGAACAATGCCATTTGTGAGATTAGCCGGGGGCCACTTACTCGGCAACAGGTCGGTGAGATCCAATCTCGTTATCTGTTGAATGGATCTACGATAAATTACAGGGGGAGGGGGTTGCAAGATCTAGCCGACGTCAGGATTCTGACAACAGTTAGGATAGAGTTAAACTCGTCCTAATCCGCGAATTGTAACCAAAGATTGAATAGGAAGGTCTAAAATTATCGAGTGGGGAGGTCGCGAATAAGTCAATAAATGTCCAAGGTTTGAGTAGAGACAGGTAGCCAGATTAACGAATAAAAATATAAGTTTAATATAAAACGTCTAAACCTAAGAATACACAAAAATACATTATATACATCTAAGGCGACACGAGAAAGATATCTACGTGTTATATCCGCTATTCGCTCTTGAGAGAGAGTTTACAAAAATACCTCAGAGAGAGAGATGTGGTTCTCTGTCTTGTGGAGGTTGAACCGTAATCGATGTCTTCCTTTCTTATACAACGATTCGGGCCGTCGTCTTCTATGGGAAAGTCCACTTTACGCTGTTCCGGATATGACGGGACGGAAGTCTTCTTCGTTCGTGTAGTCCCTCTTGCGATCGCAGTTCTGAGGATAGTTGTGGAACTGGGTGGCTGTCGCCGTTGTATGGCTATCCAGGCTGGTCCACCACGACTTGATTTCTCGCCTTTCTTTTATCGATTTATCTTGGAAAAAAGAGTCAGGTGAACGACTGTTTAGCGATGCATTTGCAGGTGTGCGATCAGAGGTGAGCCGTCATGACCATATTTGTTTCGAGACTTGTACGGTTCCTTCTATTTATACGTGGACAATCGAATTTCTCCTCCTTTAACACTGGGTTATTTGTCTTTTAGTACCCGGATGTTATATTTCTCAGCTAGTTGTTGATAGTTTGATAGTACGGGTGATATTCAATCGGTTTCCTAGTATGACACGCGATCGCGCGACGGAAGAAACTGAGATGACAAACACATTGTCACAGTTCTGTCGGTATAGTTGTGTAGCTGATTGCTTAAGTAGAGAAGTCTTCAAAGTCCTTCGTGTTGTTC